ATATGATTGTCGGCTTACCAAAGTCTGATGGATTCGACTCGATCCTGGTCACCGCCGACCGCTTCACCAAGCAGGTCCACTTCTCCGCCTGTCATGAGACCCTGACGGCCGAAGGGGCGGCAGACCTGTACATCCGCGATATGTTCAAGCATCATGGGGCCCCAGTCAAGGTCATATCAGACCGAGGTCCCCAGTTCGCTTCGAAGTATCTCCATGTGGTGTACAAGGGACTAGGGATCGAGCCGGCGCTGTCTACAGCGTTTCATCCTCAGACAGATGGCCAGACTGAGCGCTGGAATCAGGAGATCGAGCAGTACCTGCGTGCCTTCACAAGCCACAGGCAGGATGATTGGGCGAAGCAATTGCCGCTCACGGAGTTCGCACTGAACAACCGAGTTCACTCCGCGACTGGACATTCCCCATTCTTTCTGCATCAGGGGTACCATCCTGAAATCCAAGTGCGGATCAATCCAATGTCTGCAATGCCTGCAGCCGCTGATCGGCTCAAGATCCTGAAGGAGATCCGGGACGACACGCGCTCCATGCTGGAGTTGTTAGCTGAGCGAATGAAGGTGTACTATGACAAGCACGTGCAGGAGGCACTGGTCTTTGCACCGGGGGACAAGGTCTGGCTTGATGCCCGGAACCTTAAGCTGAAACAGCCAAGCAAGAAGCTCAGTCCCAAGCGCCTTGGACCTTATGCCGTGCGGTGAAAGCTCGGAGACTTGGATTACGAATTGGTTCTGCCGAAGTCGGTGCTAGTGCACCCGGTATGCCATGTCTCCTTGCTTAGCAAGTACATGCGCAGCGACATCCCAGGCCGGGAGCCAGAGGAGCTGCCTGCGATTGAGGTTGAGGGCGACGAGGAGTACGAGGTTGAGCGGATCAAGGACTCGAGAATCTTCCGCTGTCAGTTACAATACCTCGTCAAGTGGAAGGGTTATGATGACTCGCATACGTCATGGAACCGGCGCGCAATGTTGCGAATGCGCCAGCCTTCATAGCTGACTTCCACCAAAAGAACCCGAATACCCCTTGCCACCTCAATGCCGCTGTCTTTGGTGGTCTCAACTTTCAGCCAATGCCTCCGCCGCTGACAGAAGCACGCTGCCGCTCTGTGTGGGAGATGGGCAAGGGCACCTTGCATGAGGTCATGCGCCATTGAGGGGGGGGTAATGTCACGAGTTGGCATGGCGTCTAGCCGTTTTTCAATTTTTTCCTTTTTGCAGGCTCGAACCCGCGACCGCTGTACTACATGCCTGATATGGACACATCGTTATCTACTGTATGATTAGATTAGATGGGCGGCAGTGCGCGGCACAGCTCGGGCTCCGCTGACACAGCCTCTCTGACTCACCGGCCCCCGGGGCTGCGTCAGCATGCTGTGCACGGACCAGCTGTGCACGGACCAGTGCGCACAGCCTCCCCTAAACATCCCCTGTATATAAGCCAGCCTCTGCTGCCCTAGGGACCTCAGTTTCAACCTCTTGTCCTGTAAGGATTTACATGCATGTGCCGGTCTCACATCATAACCTCTACACCAAAAGGGTGCAATGTCAAGCTTGGCTTGACATCTGACTGGAGGTATATATGCTAATCATATGCCAACTCATAACATGTCCCTAGGTCAGTAAGCCCTCATTTGTATTCTTTCTTACCCTACTAACTAATACATTTTCTTGTCCCTAGCCTTACGTTTGAGCCTAGCTCACCATCGCTTCAGTAAGATAAGTCAAACGCCCCCAGCATTTGGTTTTTCCCCTGTCGCTCGACCCTAAGTCGCGACATTCGCACCAACGCAGCGAGCAGCGGGCTTCAAGCTGCCCCCAGAGCTTTGCTAGGTAGTAAACCCCCAAGCGGGCTGATGCAATTGTATTGGAACAGCCAGTGCAACGGCACAGCGAGCGTGTTTGTCCACGAGCTAGCAATGCCTGTAAGGGACAATCACGTGCGGTACGTACATCGCGCGGGGTCGTTATATACTACGATAGGGGCCTCCAGCCCCCGGCTACTCGCGCGCCCGAGCTTGCAAGCTCATTCCTGACCGCGCGGGTCAGCGCGTTTCAACACATGGTAGGCTTGTGATACTAGGAGGTCTACGGAGTAGGCCATCGGCACTGGCATAAGACCAAACATTGGCAGAAAAGTGGACATAGTATACTAGAGTGGGATAGCAGTGACCTGGTGAAGTTGATCAATGTCCAAAGCAATCTTGAGAGAGTATAACTAGTTATTTAACTTAAGTATACTTAGGTGAGGACAGGCGAAACCACAATGTCAGTGAAGTATAAGTGGTTGTCACAAAGTGTACTTTGATCAACAAGGTGTACTACATGGTACCATGTGATAACGCGCAGCAATCACAGACTATCCGTGAGCCGCCGATTTTTGTCCGATATGGACCGTCAAATGCACTGCAGCGGCGCAGCGTGAATGGTGCAGGGACACTCGATGCTTGTTTGTTGACGGCAGCGTGGTGATGGACCCACGAGATTTGCGAAGACCGAAGATGGTAGACATGGGATCGTGGTATACCGAGACCCTGTGATGATCGGATGTGTGGGCGCTGGACGCTGTGCCAGCGGATCGAGTCACACAGTGGGAGTTAGATGTAGACTGATACATTACTTGGTACAGGTCTGTATCCTTGAGCGAATGGCGAGGTGCGAAGCTTGAAACGAGCGGATGGAGGTGCGAGGAAGCTGGGCAGTCAAGTGAAACCGGGACACTTCTTGTCAGCCTGATGGTTACCATTAGAATCAGAGTCAGTGTGCCTCGAACGGAACGTGTCGCAGTTGTCTCGTACTTGACGCCTGAGCGCAGTCTAACCCGCAATTCTACGAAGGACTGCGCTGCAGTTCCACCGGAGTCATAACACGACGTCGATTGCTGCGTCAAATCCGTAGTCTGTGCTGGATCGATCGGCTGCTCGAGTTCATCAGCTAGCAAGAGACATGGACTATAATGGAGATACAATCTAGATTTGTTCGTGCTGATGCTGAGAGTCGAAGGGCCGTGGTCCGAGTGTACACACATGTGATTACATTTTCGTCATCGATGGATAATGTCGATGAGTAAAGCGCGCCCGTTACAACTCCGTCAAGGGGGCGCATTGACTTGACATGCGCCACCGTAGAAAATGTACGTATTCAGCTGGTAGAAGATCGCATTGCGACGCGGAACAGAAACTGGGGAAACGTCACAGATACTCCCTGGCGGTGCTCTTGAATATATGTCATCGTAATTCCACCTTTGCGCTGCGGATGTCTCAGCATGGTTTTTCCTTTAAAATCCCTGATCAAAATCTAGTATTATATCCGCCTGGGGACCCGGCATGGTTGCTGTATGGCTCCGCTCAATAAGATTGCGCTATCATGATGATACATTTACCAAGGGTCCGCGATATGCTTTCTGTCATCGACTTTGAATTCCCAGACGAGAGGACGAGTCGTCTCGGGTCAGTGCGACATTCACTAGCAGGTGAGCCGCCCGAGCCGCATGCCGATGAACGCTCACTCTCGGACAAAATGGCACTGGGATAGTATTCATATATGGGGGACACTAGTAGCAGTCATAAGATATTCGGAGACAACGAGATCCAAGTAATAAAAGCGTCCAAACAGATAGTGTCCAGAATAGATGACAAACAGCAGAATGACGTAGCATGACATGAAGCGTATGTAACGTCCAGAGTCCCGATGCCAAGCCGCAGAGAATGGCTATACCGTACCAAAGCTCCGAGGCTACACCTACTTCGCCTTCGTCTTTGCCTTCGTCTTTGCCTTTGCTTTCGCCTTCGCCTTCGTCTTTGCCTTCGTGCTTGACTTCGTCGTCGCCTTAGTGTTCGACGTAGTCCGTGACGTTGATTGGCCCGTTGCAGCCTGTGTTGCTGTAGTCGGAGCTGATGACGATGATGCGGTCTTGCTCGTCGTGCCCTTCTTCAAATTGTACTCTGTCCCCGTATATCGGACGGGAGGAGCACGCTTGCGCTGCGGACGAGTAGAGCGTCCTTCGACAATGGGCCCTGTCGAGATTTGAGGGGCGGATGGACTGGTAGCCTTGTCGACGGATCGTTCAGCGTCAGAGTCTTCGACAATTACGCCTTGCGCGCCGTCTTTGGCAGTTGCCTCTTCGGCGACGTCTCCGACGCTCACCTCTCGAATTAGAGCTGCGAGACTGGATCCCTGGTCACCTTCGTCTGAATTGTGTTCTGTGCCATCATCATCAGCGGGGCCATTGTCGTCGGTAACGCCGTCCTGACCGTCGGCCTGAGTCGGGATCTCGAACGGATCCTCGACATATTGTCGTGGATCTTTGGGGAGAATGTCGACTTGAATGTCCTTTTCCCGGAGGTTTTTATCAACAATGTCTGCGAAGAATCGCATGAAGACGCCGCGAAGTAGGTCTTGGCCGATTTTGTGATGGATTGCGCCTGGTGCTTTCTCAGCCTCTCGGTAACAGCTGACTAGTCGCTTCCTGATCTCGTTGAGTTTGCGAGCAATATCTCGTACAGCGGAGTGTAAGTAGATGATTTGGTTCTTCAGGTTACGCTCGTTCCCTAGCGCTGATTGTCTCTTCTGCGGCGACGTGGTCAACAAGTCAGTGTAACCTCTCTGAGTGAAGTAGTGTCCCCGCTGCGAGGCGTCCATGGATGGGGGTTCGCCACCGACCTTGACCACCGATTTGTTGAAAACGAAGTATATTGCCACCCACCAAAGGGATTCAATATCATGAAGGGGATTGTACCTGAAGGGCACGATGGGGCCATCCTTGCTGATTGGCATGTTGATGTTCACAGGATTGCCACGTTGGAAGGATTCGAGCCAGTCCAGGGCCTCTTGGTCGGGATCGGCTTCACTCGGAGGTGGCGTGGTCTCTTGCGCCTCTGTTTCATCCAATTCTGACGGAAGAAAGCAATATTCCATATCGTAGACTTCGACTGACATGAACGATCTAGTGCCCTGTGCACAAGAAACGATAATAAGGAATGAAAACAGTAAACATAATCTGATACTCACCGTCCTGATTTCATGACCCGAACGATCATTCATGCGCTTTGCATATTCGAGATCTGACAGCTTGCAATACAGCACTCCATTTACAACGAAACCAAGGGAATTGCCTATGCTGATGTCACGATGCACCCATCCAAGCTCATGCAAGGCCACCAGTGCTGTACAATTCAACAGTGAGCTTTTGAGCAAGTATGACACAATGTCATGGACTCACCAAATGCAGCATTTATGAGAATTTCGAAGACTTCCTTAAGCGAGGTGTATTCACGAAGTGGCTTGCATACCTCCTTGAACACGATACGGTAATGGACTTTTGGATGGTATGTATAGATCTTCTGTGCGGGAGCCGTCCTCAGCTCTTCTGGGGTCTGGTAGTGGCCCACGCCTGCTGGCGCCTGTTTGCTCAACTTGGCTGTCATGGTCTCTCCGTCCTCCGGTATCTGTTGGAGTTTGAAGCTGAGATAGGGGTTCGGCTCGCCACGGCGCGTCATGAGATTGCGAGTATGATCGTGCATGCCCTCCACGTAGACATCTCCGTGACGTTCCACAGTGAGTAGCGATCGGTCGATAATGTCTCTTATCGACTTCTTTGTTTTCGCATTCCGAAGTTCCTCGATGATCATGCCTTCTCGTTGTCGATCGGCATCGATGTACTGGTCTTTGAGAGCGAAGCGTTCGTCACCTTCCTCGTCGTTGTCGAATATACACACCTCCCAAACACGCGTACCCCTGCCTCGCAGACCATTTGCGCCTTCGTCCGATAACCATCTTATCGTCCGATATCGTACGACTGTTCCATCCTGATCTTGGACATCGATGTCGAGGCGGGGTTTATCCTCTTTGTCAAGTTCAAGCTCGTCGTTCTTCCCGTTCTTCTTGCGCACGTATTGCATTGTGGGATCCCATCCCGCCTCATGTTCAGCCGCGTACATCATCGCGACGAAGAAATGAACGACCTTATGGTGTTCCTAAACAGATTACTGAGCAGGAGACATGAAGAATATGATGGGGCACACAACTCACCGACATAAAATCAATCGGCTTGCTCACAAGCAGCTCTGTGCGGCTGCAGAACCACATCCGCATCGTCCTATTTTCAATTGTGAGCCCATAGGTGAACCGACGTCTCGCATCCTCTCGCATGCAGTGATGCATGCTCCAGATTACCTTTCGTACATCCTGCCACAGCTATCAGCCAAGTATCAAGTTGTGAAATCGGATGTGCTTACATCATCTTTAGTTTTAGCGTTCTCCACCTTCTTGTATTCAGCGGAAAGCGCGATGTCCATCCATCGAAATTTACCCTCAGGCCCTGAATTTCGAATGAAAAATCCATCCGGGCGACTTTTCGACGTCCTTGTACTGGACTCGGGCGCGTCGTTTGGGTTCTGGACAAACTTCAGTAGCTGTTTCTTGCCTGTCATCGTGCTTGCGACCTCCCCGATGGCTGCTGCCACAGTTTCGAGAGATTTAAAGCAGACATTCTCGCTCCCGTCAGCATCTTTTGGATCCTTTAAGAATGCCACCCAACGGTTTCCTTTGATGTGTTTTTCGTGGAGTTTGTTGACTACCTGGTTGATGTCAACGCCTGTGGGAAGCCGAGGAAGGAGATATGTTCGAAAGAAGTCCGCACCGACTTCCGGTGCGGTCGTTCCAAGATCTTTCATCACAGCTTTGCGAGCTGCATCGAGGTTGCCTTCCATGTAAGACGCGCTTTGAACAGCCTTGACGCGGACCGGCGTTTCGCTCAGGTTAGCAGACGGGTTGGCCTTGGAGGCACCAGAGGATGGCTCACCCTCCATGTTGGTTGGTGGTCCTCAAACGATGTATCTTGCTGCATTTTATATGACCAGGAGATGTGATTAGGATAGCCAACTTCGACACTCTGTTTAATTTCCGTGAGCTGCGAAACACGAGGGGAGGAGCCGTCAGCGATGTGGCTGGAAGGACAAAGGAATAGAGAGCTCTACACTCAGGTGAAAGTGAGAAACGTGGTTGGTCCCTGCCTTGGAGGAGACAATGCTTGACTGCTGTGAAGTTTGTGAGCCGCCCGGTGCTTGCACCTGTGGATCGTGCCTTCGTTCAGGTGCGTGGTCACTGACTGAATTACGGTGGCTCAAGGGCTCAAATTACAGACGCGTGTTTACTTGAATAGTAGCGGTAACAGCAAGGTCAGATGAATTCAGCCAAGTGGCACAGATCCAAGATGATCTCCGGCGCCCGCGCGCGGCAGCCACAGACGCGTTCATCACGTGGAAGGTTGGCACAAGTCACACGCCACACTTCCACCGCAGAGAAGTTGAGGTTCCTAGGTATCTATCGCATTCTTCTTACCTTGTAAAGTACAGTCACGTATTTCACATCAGATATAAGCCGTTTCACTGTACACTTTGACTTATGACTGTGGCTATTGATTAGTGATCTTCTGCCTTCAAAGGAGGCCGGTATTACTTCCCAACTTCCCGTACGACAAACCGGATTAATGTGCCACCACCGAGCGATCAATCCACTGGAGAAGACTCGCATGCCCAAATATGCATGCATACCAACTCATTAAGTGCTGCTCCACTGCAGCTCGTCTGCTGCACTACCCCCGCCGATATTGATGTTGTATGCCTTCATGTGTGCGGATTCCATCAGCCTGACTCACACGAAGCCATGCATGGCGAAACCATTTATTGGTGAGTTGCTTGCTGTCATCCGTCTTCAGCTTGACGTGATGAGTCATAGGATTGTCGTCGTGAATGAACACATTCGTGCGGCACAGCGGTGGGGCGGTAATTGTTTGTTTTGATTCTTTATTCTGGGCTGTCTTATTTGACAGTGGCGTGCTATCCTCAGAGTGGCAAGTAATGAAGAAGAATAGGGTGGGTATCCGATTTCGCTTATATCGACCCGTATACATGGATCACTAATGTCATCAATAATCGCTATGTCAGCATGAACATCATCACAGCCACAGAGTAAGATTCGGAGAAGACATGACTCGAATCACTAAGACTACTCCGCTTGGCGCTTCAGTCCATCGGCGACCGCCTGGAATCCCTGCTGCAACTCACTAGAAAGGAGTGCGCGCACAAAATACGCACCGGGGCCCGCCATGACCTCCCGCGTCTCGTACAGTGTCTTCCTGTCCTCAACGACACTCAGCGCCTGCCACCGCTTCGCGCGCAGTAATCAGGACGGCATTAGATCCTTCCACGCCACACGGTGCACCGTTGGGTCGACCGCGAGGTGGGCGTGTGGGACCGGTCGGACGTCGGTGGTATGTGCACCTCCATGAGGAGGTACCATCCCTCGTGCGGTGTCTGGTTGGGCAGCGGCTCCTTGGACGAGATGTCCACGATTATCTGTTTGTGTCTGCTGCTCCCGAGTGTCAGCTAGCGGTGTCCACTGTCTACGCAAGGACATGCACACCGTACACGAAGACGCCTGGTGTTCCTGAACGTAGATACACGTCGCAGCCCGAGCATGCCCTCATTGTTCGAGAACGTGTCAGTAATTCGGCTCCAAATGACAAAAGAGAAAGCGACTCTACCTCAGCCACCCGGCCTCTCCGTTTGTTGATCGTGGTTTTGACCGTGAAAGTAACCAAATTCTGTGTTACGGTGGCTCGTGGGCTAAATACGCAGGCGCGCAGTCAGTCGAAAGGTACCGGTAGAAGCGAAATCGAATAAGCGCCGCCAATGTGGATCCAACCTCGACCTCAGGCGACACATTGCCGAGAAATCGCAAGTCTGCAGGCAGCTCTCTCTCGACTATGACGGCTCTGCAATCTTCACTATTAGTGGCCGACAACAACGCAAGCAAGCATAAAAAGCCAGTGAAGCGAACGAACCATGCACATTACTAGAGTAGAGACATAGACGATTGGGACAGGGCTCGAGCGTGGAGCATTCATAATATCATATTTGCATTCATGGCACCGCAGGTGGGGCATTAATTACTGGTGCACCGGTGAGCACAAGCCGCATCGAGACCCATAAATGTCACGTCGTTCCGACCTTGAAGTGATGACGATGAAGCGCACAGGCATAGTGGCCACTCTCGTATATTGGTGTGCCCACAAATGGAGAGCGCCAAGTTAGCATAGCTTTAACATGTTCTTTGAAGTGTAGATATAGCAGATGATTTCAGGGTTGGAATCCTCACACATGAATCTTACCCGCTATACTCTCCACGGCCTCCTTTAGTCTATGCGCTTCGCGAACGACGCTGTCGTTTTCGTCCTCCGCACATTCAGCAATGAACGTGGCAGTTTCTGCGACAAAGCCTATACAAACACTAAGATCAGAGACGCCCCACAATGTCGTCGTGTTTATGCGACTCACCTAGCAATTTACCACCATGTGCCCTCCACAACGCTTCATTGCACGCCAAGCTGTACAAGCGCAACCGAGAATCCTCAGAGCGAGTGTGCATCAATATGTCGAGGTTCATCGATTTGAGCAATGTGTCGTCGTTGACAGCGTCCATGGCTGCTACAAGGCAATCCGACAGAATTTTCTTGCCATCATTGCCGTCAATGTGTATGCAGACAGGAATCTGCTTGATAAGGGCAGAGACTAATTGTTGCATCTTATCGCCCCGCCAGAATCCTTCGAAGGTATATATAGATCACCACCCACAAGATGCGTTGCGCGCACTCACCACCTTCATCGAAAGTCAGAGTCTTCGTGAGCACTATCACCAGCGACGTCCAGAGGTTAGGTCCTTGAGATACATCGGCAGCATATTGATCCAGTATCCGAAGGAATGGATGTCTGAGGAACGACAAATATGGAACCACAAGGGCCTACGAGTGGTGTCAGTAGGGGGACAGACGACGTTTTAGTTTTTGTCCACCTTGAAGTATTCCAGCAAAGCGCTGTATATGTTGCAGAATGTGACGGCCCGAGATACATTTGCACTCGCTGCGGAATGACATCATAGGTTTAAGATTAGTGACTCCAGTGCATTTAGTTGCTTACATGTAGTATCCGTGAATGCCCAGTCAGACAACCTCCTGAACAACGGCCGGAAGGCAGTCTCATTGAGCTTGACAACTAATTCAAGAAATGCCGAAATCAAGTCACGCTGGATCTAAAACAAACGTGAGAGGAATAATGGCCGAAGGTACCCATATGTACCTACCAACGAATTCTGTCCCGTGCTAACAATCTCGAAAGCATCCTGGAAGAGTTTGGAGAGCGGGCGCAGGTGTTCTAGGACAACAGGCCTCGCCGCGGTGCGTAGCGATCGTCTCAGGAAGACAAAGAAACCGACCATCTGTTCTACCTCCATCTGTCGGGTATGAGCATCAAGTAGTAGGACTGTTCGAGGTGAACAAACTCACAGACTCAGTACTCGAAGACAAAGCGGACCATGCAGAGGATGATGTTGATAATAGCATCTTGGACGGAAGGCGTTTCGTCATAGTCTTCACCACTGGTGTCATAATGTTCGTGTCGGCCTTTGCTGTAGTCGTACATGAACCCAAGAAGAGGTTCATGACAAGAAGTATTTCAACCTCGCCCCAAAAGGTGGGGATTGAGGAGAGCGTTGACTGTAGAACCTCAAGAGCTTCGGTGGGGGGGCGGCGTGCTAGATCACTCTATGAGAAGATTGATAGCTATTGTCTAGGATTATACGTACCGCCCGTGCTACCTACATCCACGAATTCACGAACGGAGGCAGCACATTCTTGCACAATCCTCCTGATATGCGGAATAATTCGGGGGCCAAGCTTTGAGCTACGAAGAATTAAGCAATAGTATTTGACAAACGCGATACGAAATATACCATAGCGATAGGAGAGCGCTAAATGCAGCTGGGGCGATTGAATGCCTTCGCGCGATATCGAGCACGAGTGGTATCATGACTGCAAGTGAGCTTTCTTCTCCAGGACACTGAGTTTGGCTGATGGATCGCAGAGCGGAAAATGCGGCGATCAGCAAGTCATCGTCAGGATTGGACGCCAATATCTTCTTGATAGTCGAGTTAATTTTGACAACTACAGCTGTCATAGTACGACGTGTCTCGTCCGTGACACTAGTCAAGCGTTCACCCAGAAGATTCAAGGCACCCATTTGGACCTGTTCTATTGGTGAGCAGCAACCGTTTCATAGTAGCAATACACTCACTTTAGCATCTCGAGAGTGTATCATCAAGGTCACACCCATGACGAACACGGATGCGGACATGATGCGCAATGTGCTAGTCATTGCGGATCGGGCTGCGGCGATGACTTTGTCAAGACCTTGGTCGGGATCGGGTAGAACAGCCACTTTTAGGAGTAGGGACAGCAGGTCCGAAATCGAGTCATTTTCGCTGAGCTGATTGGAACGAGAAATCGCTGTGCTTTCTCTCAGGGCGTAATCGCAGAATAGGATGAAAGATAAGGCCCGTCGACGCCATATCGCTGAGGCCTGGACTCCTCGGTCGTCATCCCTAGACATGCCTCTGAGAAATGCAAGATATGCGACTACTAGCTCTGCTTACGACGGTGGTGCCAAGAAGGTAGCTTCGGGCTGATCGCCATCGTTGGCTTTGGCAAGCATACGCAGAACTTCCCGCATGATTTCGACAAGGACCTAGGGAGAAATTTTGAGATAGAGCATATGAGGACAAAACGGGACCGACCACAATGCGCTGCTGTGTCGAATAATGCTCTATAGCTGCAAGACCAAGCGACAGAGATGTCCGCGCATCCTCGGAATTTTGCTTTACTACTCGGTTGGAGACCCGGTCGACAAGTAGCATACATATAGGGGCGAGGAACTCATCCGGGCCGAGGACGTCGATGAGTTGCAAAAATAACCTGGGGCCAACTGAGTTCAATCGATCAAAGAAAATAATCATGCTTACTGCGTGCGGCGGTGACGAGGAATATGGTTGGAGGCGTCAGTGAAGATACACAAGAAATCCCTCGAGCCAACATAAAGATCCAACGCCGAAGTATATGTCGTCTTCAATGATGTAACCATGACGGGGACTATACTCTCGATTGTCTTGACGCATTCATGAGTTCCAATGTAGGCCAACCTAATAAACAGCCGACTAACCTTCTGGACGACACGGAAACTGTACGCATCGTCCCGGTGGAACACGTTGGAGCCCATGAAAGTGAAGACTGGCATGATATTGTGCAGAACCGCATCTGGTGCCAGTCTGGCAAGACTGGCCATTAGAAGGAGAGCTTGGTGGAATGTCTGAGGATCTTCGGCGGCTAGAGCAGACTAAGACTTTGTCGTGTATTATATATGAGGGATGAGACACACCTCTAATGAGGTCGACAAGGACGTCAAGCCGTACGAGTCCTGGTGAGATACTCGACGAGTCCTAAGCGACAAATTCAACATTCTGAACGCATTAGAGCAGGCAAACACTTACAGGTAAGCTTGTCACGACGCCCTCAACGGCGGTCATCAAGAGCTGCTCGGTGTATGCTCTGTCTGCTGAATTCATCGACGCGTCATGTGTGACCCTCTTCAGTGTTTCTAGCAGACATATCACCAAGTCCAACGACCCCTGCTGTGACATCGACGCCAGGACCTCAGCCAACAATGTCAGCGATGCCCTGGAGCTTTCTTGGGTCGCACTGGAGAAGCACCTCGTCAGTCCATCAGTAGGAAAGCGATGATATCATGACTAGCCTATCTAATTTTGCGCGTTTGGGTGCACGCTCACTTTGTTCCACTGCGGCAGGCTGGAAAATGACGAGAAGACGAATAGTGATTGCGATGTCGGTAAGGAGATTGCGGAGAATCTCCTTGCACTCTTTCGCCTTGATACGCTATCAGCCTGAATGCAACATAAAGAAAATGGCCGAACGAACCGCGTCGACGTTCTGAACAGAAATCTTTAAAAGGTGTGTAGAGAGTGCAACTTTGCGATCGGCAGAGAGCTTATCGAAAACGCCGTGTTGAAGTTGATATATAACGACGTCCTTCGCGTCTTTGACCAGGTCTGTGCAATACGGACCCTCAGTGTGGGAGCTGCTCGCGATAAAGAAGGATCATACTATCACAGAGCGCAGCTTGCACAATCTGTTCGTATATGGCCCAAGTGGATTTACTTGTATCGTTGAGGTCCGCAACAGAGGAGTCATCGAAGGACGACATAACTATTGGGAGCACGGCTTGCGCTTGGGAGTCAGGCGATTGATGGGAACCATCCATGTGTTCCTGAACAGTGGGAAGAAGCATCCGGGCCTTGACTTCGCTCGATGTCAACTCGACCGACTTCAAGAGAGACAATTTGAAATCAGGGAGTTGGCATGCGTTCACATGTGACAGTAGATAACACATGATCCGCTGTTTATACCTAGTGGTGGGCTTAGCTAGAAGACAAAAAAGGAGAACACAAGGGGCATACCCAGCTTGCTTCTTCGAATCCGATTTTTGGGTTGACAGGTACTCCTGATGTAGTACCCTGAGGTAACCAGAATCATGGACGAGGTGATTTTGCCCAGTACCCAATGTGGCCACGTATTTTCGGAAATCAGCCCAATCCAGGTATTGTAACACAGCTGAAGTACGGGTGAGAATACAAGTCTGCATATGGGAAGGACAGTACGCACTGGATTTATCACCGTATAGCATGTCGAATGCGTATACAGCGGAAGCTTGCTCAATAGTGGTCGTCATCTTCACCAGCACTACTACGCAGCTAAGAGCCGCCTCACGGACTCTGGGATCGGCGCTCTGCACAGCGAACAAGATAGCCGGAAGAATGGTCTGGAAATCGAGCCTATTTTGTATAGCATAGTCTGCCTCAAGGAAAGCCGCGGCATGACGAAGCGCCGAGACACGTATGTGGTTCTCGTAGTCATCCTGAGGTGCCAGCCAAATGCCAGTGAGGAAGATAAGAGCATCTGAGCCGAGGTTCATGAACAAAGCGCGAAGGAGCTGGGTCGACAGAAGCGGTAGCGACGCAGAGGAGTTACCGAGCTTGTAGACAGCGCGCATTAATTGCACGTAGCGAATTGGGCGTGTGTCGTTGGTAGCCGGCTCAAGTGGGATCTAAACGCAAAGTACGTGAGCAGACTTTTGAAAGAACTGAAACAAGGTTGTCAACCTACCGTCGAGGGCGTCTGCAACCAATCCAGCGTTAAAGCAGCCGGACGAGGGATCATCGGAAGGGTCGTCAACACAGAGATCTGAAGCCTATGGAAGGTATGGCGGCTTTTGGGCTTGAGGACAACAGCAGTCCCTAGACTCATATCCTGTAGATACTGCAGCATGTGTGATGAGTGAGATGAGCGCACACGCTGTACATGGAATGGCTTACCACACCCAGGTTGTCGACGCCGCGCATGAAATCTCCCATTCCTTCGAGGGTATTGAGCTTCATAGCCTGCAACACCCTGTGCGCGGCATTGATCTGGTGCTCCCCAGACAGGCGCGATAACAAGGCGCGAGCAACGAGGTAACCGAGGGCGCGCGCATAGGGACTTGAATCGTGCAGCTTGGCCAAGATGTTCTCGAAAAGACGATCATAGTAGTTGGATGCGAGGATGTTATCTGCATAGCAACGTGTTCAAACATCACCTTGGGTGGAAATAGGACTCATCCACTTACCCGCCATCTTGGCCGCCACGGCCATGTTGATCTTTGTCAACAGCTCGATATTCTTGTGGCTCCCATCGTCCTTCATGCCCTCCGCGCGGTGGCTCTCCTCCCACCGCACTGCATCAACGCACCCCCCAAGCAGCTCATACCGCACAATACCCATGTGCTCTTCGCGGTTATTCTCGCACGCCTCCAGAATCTCCCACACCACCGCGGCAGTCTTCTGCCGGGGTTTCGTGAAGAGGAGATACGAGAAGAACAGCTCGTCAACGATGCGGTCGGCGAGCGCGGCATCTGCCTCACGGAGCGGCGAGGAAAGGTGTGTCGCCACGAACGCGAGGTGCAGCCGCACGACGGTCCGGGAAGGGATGTCCTTCTGGTTATGAAGTATCTGTGTAAGGGTGGAAAGATAGCCGCTTGTGTCTTCGAGCACAAGAGGCAGGAGCAGCGTTGGCTGGGCGTAAAGCGCTTCGAGGACTGCAGGTTCCGTGTCTTCGATCCGCGCACGCAACGCAGCTTTCATGGCATCCTGCAGGCGGGCATTAATTAATGAGGTCGACCCCGTCGCGATGAATCCTATTATGTCATACCTTGTCGACCGCCGCCGATTCGCTGGACGATAATATGTTATAGAGATTTCCAATGGCCCTTGCACGCACGCTTGCGTCCGCGCTTATTGATGCGACAACTATGTCGAAGTCCTGCTTGCCGCTGGAGCTGAGCAACGCCTGCGACATCGACCGTGTTCAGCCCCTGTGTTTGTTTACTAAGCGAGGAAATGCCCACGATAGATAGCGAGTCTACAATCTGATCCAATAGTTCACGCTTGTCTTCGTCCTCCATCGCAGCCTTGGAAGCATCCTGGACAATGTCTGGATGGCGCTGATACAGATTCGACAAAGCCCTACGCGCGTTAAGCATAGACGGATCAGTAGCATCGCCCAACTCGGCGAGCTTCTGTAGCAGTGCGGTTGCTCCGTGTCGTAGAATATCCGCTGGGGTCTTAGTATACGTAAGGATTGACTCCAGCAGATCGAGGGCGGGTTCTTTTGCCAGTCTAGACGCAAATAAGCAGAATGCACGGAGTTGTAGCTGGGGGTACGCACTGTGTCGTCAGTGCGACCACCAAGGGGTCGATCAGCTTTTCGGCTCCTACCCAAGAATACACATCCCGTAGTTCGGAATCGACAGCACTACCTTCAATGTCAGTATATGCGCATCTGATGTATCTTTCTCCGATACATACGGTAGCCGCATGATTGCAGTGACCAGGGAACGTGGAAACTTTTCCAGTGTATCTTGAGGGGCGCAGATACACAGCAATGTGCGCACGAATTGCTTAGCAGAGACCTGCTGTGCGCAGGATGCGACAGTAGAGAGTATCGCTTTAAGCACTTTTGGGGTGATACGGCATTTTTGCGAGAGGGCAGCAATTACTAACAGACTGCCGAGCTGCATGTAGAGACACGACGTTAAGACAGCGGAGGAAATAAGATGGACAATCGTACAACTGATTCCTGGAATACGGAGGACTTGATTTTGCCGACATCGTCTGGCTCGAGCTGCAAAGGCTCCGTTGCCGCTGGCAGTAGGAATGCGGTCGTTCCCTCGTCTACATCTTTGTTCTGTGCGAGGAAGTCAAGTAGCACGCCTGTGTGGAATATCACCAGAGCCTTATGGGCACCAGCACCTGCTGATTTCAGTGCATTGGGCAGTAGACCGGACACGAAGCGTGCAAGATCCGTGTCCTTGAGCATTTCGGTCACGAGAGCACCACGTGGTAGGGGTTTTGCTGTGGTTTTATACGCGGCGAGGAACCGAAACATTGAATTGTCGCTATGAGAAGTTGAGTGAAGGAAACAGCAGGAAAATCTCAGGCGGACGCACTCGATATGGAGCAGTGTCACAATTTTGGCAAAATGGGGTGATTCATGGTACGGAATGAAGAGCGTTAGTAACTCTTGGACGTTGAACTCGTTGATTCTGTGAAGTGCTTGATGTCAGACTCTCGTTGCGATAGCAGTGTGTTTTTAAGAGCAGAGAAACCTGTGTTCCTCACCTGAACCGTCGCACAAGCCATTCCAGTACCTTTCCCGCAGGCGCTTCCAAAAGGTACGGGCCCAGCAATGGTAGGAAGGACGCAATATGACCGTTCAACTCCGCGTTTGCCCCAGACGTCAGGAGTGTCCGGTCGGTAGCTTTCGCAGTATCAGAGAAGAGCGGGCGTTCGAAAGATCCAATCGACGGATCCATAGCCATAAGTTGCGTAAATCCATTAAGACCCAGAGCATGTATCGCATCGAGGTCATGCTTTTGCGCCTCCTTCAGAGAGAACAGGTACGAGTCGGCAGGTTTTCGTCGTGAACGATCGACCAGAAGAGATGCATTGAGTGACGCGCCCTGCGCAAGCTGCGCTGCAAGACTTGAAACCATCGAGAGAGAAAACCACTATGCGTCGAGACCACTGCAAAGGCCGCGCATAAGCGACTAATAGAGAGAATAACCAAGAAAGCCAAACACCGGATGGAAAAATAGCTTACCTAATAAACCGATCGATCATTCAAGATCAATCTGGATCGCAGATTCGCAGATGATATCACGTGTGCCATTTGCTCTACGTGTTCGCCTACGTGTTATAATCACTTTGGACAAAGACGTGCAACCTCACTTTCCATCTTATGTTTGCGCCATGATCATCTTATTCTACTTCTCGCTCGTTCTCAGCTTATTATCCAGCGATGTGCTTGCATCTGTGCTCGCCATCGACTATGGCGCTGACTGGATCAAGGCCTCGCTCATGAAGCCCGGCATCCCGTTCGACGTGCTCCTAAACAAAGACTCGAAGCGCAAGATTCAGTCTTCGGTCGGATGGAAGCAAAATGACAGGTTGTTTGGGTCAGATGCAGCAGCAGTTGTAAGTGGCACGCTCGACCTTCACTCGTCATGCTCACTTCGTGCAGGCAGGACGTTACCCCGCCGACTATTTCTCGTCATTGAAGCTCCTGCAGGCAGTACCATACGACTCGGATGCGGTATCGTTCTACAAGTCCATCTCTACAGCAGACGTTGTCGAAACCGACCGCGGGACTGTAGCCCTACGCCGCCCAGACGGCACGGAGTGGTCTGCTGAGGAACTCATTGCGATGCAGTTTGCGTACGTCAAGCAGCTAGCAGAGGATCTAGCCGGAGAGAAAGTGTACGACGTCATCGTTGCCGTGCCGCCATACTACACGCAGTTTGAGCGTGACGCCGTTGTGGACGCGATTGAGATCGCCGGTCTGCGCACGCTTGCGCTCATTAACGATGGTACAGCGGTGGCAGTCAATTATGCCATGACACGCACGTTCCCCACGCCCGAGTACCATATCATCTACGACGCCGGCGCGTCCTCCATCCGTGCGACCGTCGTCGGGTTCTCGTCCGTGGCGACGGACCCCAAGTCCAAGTCGCTCACAAAAGACAGTGTGCAGATCTCAGTCGCAGGCGTCGGCTTTGACCGCACGATTGGCGGGACGGAGCTTGACCGCCGGCTGCGAGAGATCATGATCAACGACTTCCAGCGAAGGTACAAGCGGGATATACGCAGTGACAAGCGGGGTATGGCGAAGCTATGGAAAGAGACTAGTCGTGTGAAAGCAATATTAAGCGCGAATGCAGAGGCAATGGCATCGGTAAGGTATGCCAATTGGCGCCGCGTACGTGTCCCCGCTGATGTGTATTATAGGTGGAGAGCGTGGCGTTCGACATCGACTACCGATCAAAGATTACTCGCGCGGACTTTGAGATTGCGTGCAAGGACTTGAAAGGGGAGTTTGCGCGCCCCATATTTGATGCCTTAGCGAATGCCGGCATGACATTGGTGAGTGTGATCAAAAAGCTGCTTTCGAGACTCTGGGCTGACCCCTGGCAGAACGATATATCGTCGGTCATTTTGACGGGTGGTGCATCGAGGACACCCATGATCCAAGCGGCACTCAAGGCCGCTGTCGGAGAGTGAGTGTGGATACCGCAGCTGGCTTGTAGCCGCATCTGACGTAGTTGATAGCAAGATTGCGATGAACGTGAATGCGGATGAGGCTGCTGTTCTCGGTAAGAATTACCCATTCATTTTGAATGAGCGATATTCTCACTTCCAAATAGGAGCGGCCCTCCACGGGGCGGGTCTGAGCAAGCAATTTAAGACAAAAGATATTCGAGTGCAAGATATCGGTGCCTACGACATTCAGGTTTCCTATCCTGCGGAGGCAAAGACGCCCAACGCACGTCCGCGCACGATCAATACGCTCGTGTTCCCCGCGGGCTCGAAGACGGGCAGCAGGAAGACGCTTACGTTCAAGCGCTCGGATGACTTTCCCGTCAAAATGGCGTACAAGAGCCGCCCTGACTCGTGCGTGATAAGAACAGTGTAACTGTGTGCAGTGACATTAAGCGGTACGATGCAGTGCGTTCCCTACGGAGGTTCTGCAAGCAGACATCATCGGCGTGGCGGACGCGCTTCAGAATCTGACAGAAAACGGCGCGACTGATCCCGTTGTGAAAGCTACGGTCGTCCTATCCGAGTCTGGATTCACGTCTGTGCACGACGCTGTCGCGTTTGGCGAGATCAAGGACGAATCATTCACAGGTATGTCCCGGCAATTCGGACGTCATCTCTCCGTCACGTCGCGTCCACAGGAAAGCTGAAAGGACTGTTTGGAGGGGGTGCGTCTTCCTCGGTGGAGATGCCTGAGGACGGTGACGAAGGTACAGTCGGGGAGCAGGTGCCGCTTTCGGAGTCATCATCAGTGGCGTCTTCGGTGAAGAAGAACGAAACGATCGCTCTCGACGTGCAAGTCAAATTCCCCACGCTCTCGCCTATGTCAATGCAGGGAAAGCGTCAAGCGCGCTCACGGTAAGGGGTATTTTTTTCATTACCAGCAGGCCAACGTAGCTGAGCATGTGCTGCAGACTGCTGGCCGTCGATAGTGAAGAGGCTGCTAAACGCCACAGAGAAGAAGCTCATAATACGCTAGAAGCCTACATGTATCGCCTCCGGGACTTGCTGGAGGACACGAGCCCAACAACTCCGTTCTTCAAGTGCTCACAGGATGGTGAAAGGAAAAGAATATCTGAGAAACTGCAGGAGACGTTCACGTGGTTGTCCGATTATGGAGACGACGCCGATACGCGAGAGCTGATCGAGAAGCGAACGGCACTAGAGTGAGGATGCATGTATCCTGACCGCTGTCTATGGCACTGACCACTGATCGATGCAGGGACCTCGAGCGACCGGTTGTTCATCGATACAAGGAGATCGAAGAATTCCCCAAGGCGCTGAACAATAGCCAGATGTGGAATTGGAACACGCGCGTGTTCCTCGGCCAAGCCAAGCACGATCTGGTGGATGCGGAGGAAGGTGGCCAGCCGTCGAAGTACACCGCCGAGGAGATTGTGGCGCTCGAGAAGGTCCTGCACGAACATGAGCGGTGGCTGGACGAGTGGGTCGAGAAGCAAAAGTCAGTCAAGATGAACGAAGACCCCGTCATCTTGACAAGCGAGATGCGGGCGCGAGCAAAGACGCTAGAGAACCACCTACAGAAGCTGGTGAAGAAGAAACCGCCAAAGGTGCCGAAGAAGAAGACCAATGCGCAAGCCACGACGCCTGTGGAAGAGACACCGGAGCAGGAGAGGCCAAGTGGCACATCATCATCTAATGAGGGTGCTGCACATGATCATCACGATGAACTGTAGACTAGGAAGACTGGAATAATTTTAATTGCCTCTTGTGGCGTGATCACACAGATGAGAAGGACATGCTCACTATGAAGCTCCTTTGTCTCAACCGCGACTGTTCCTGCTTCGGTGCCCGAACTGGAAACGCGCGCGCGCCCCACTCCGACGAGCCTTCCCTCCTTCGAACCTGCAACTACGCACATTGCTCAACGACCCCGATGCTCTACCGCACCTCTTCGACTACATCAAAGCGACCGGCCGCTTCGCGGCCGGACGGAACGACCGCACGAATTCCCACTGACTCTGCGTCGAAGTATGATAGCTTCCCCATACCGGACGAATGCTCCGAGCATTCCCACTACGCCTTGAACGTACGCATCCCGCCATCACAGGACTTCCTTTTACTAGACATTTCTTAATCCACTACCTACACACACTTACTCTTACCTCACCCTGCGCCCATGCCTTACATTACGCCCTCACCCGGCCCTTTGATAAGCTGACCCGCGAGACGCCCTCATCTACCACCACGTCGAACCACGTTCGAAAGCTCGCTCGCGCTCCAACTACTCCATGCTACCGGACAGCCCATCGATATTACCTCTCCAGCTACGCAGTGTACTCGCAGGTATTATCCGACATAGGGTAAAGCCCTCAAGCGGATATAAAACTGGATAAAAAAAATATAAAAAAAACCGCGACTGGCCCCTGCTGAACACATTTTTCCCTTGCTCGCAATGATGTGGTCGAGCATTGAGCATGCAAGGCAGGGTGTACATTAATGCACGTGGGCGGATCTCGATGGAATTGGATTACACAGCTTGCTATATACACGTGACTGACGCATGTGTGGCGTCGCTGGATGTGGTTGAGTTGGCCCTTCTTGCTACTTGCATGTGTATTTGCGCCTTCACAAACTGTTACGTCATACGCCATTGACTGCACACAATAGCAGACCTGCAGCTTCCCTCGTATCTGGTGGCTTGCTTTCCTTCATATCCGAAGCTTCTTTCATTTACCGCGCAGCGTGGTGCGCCTACATTGTTGTGCGTGTTAGGTGACTGATCTTATGTGCCTCTCTTTCCAGATCCGAAAGGCGCGAACCTCGAGCCACCTTGTCCACCCAGACCTATGTATAAAATGCAGTCCGTAACAGCATTCGAAGAGTATACTGCCCAACCGGTACGCCCTTGCCCTCCATGGAAACAGCCAAGCTAACCGAGACTCCTCCTAATGCACACAAAATCGGACTTGCATACCAGTACGGTGATACGAAGACTGGGCGCCATGCGGTCATTGAGGACATCGGATCAGTCGTGCCTGAAGTCCTTGTTTCTGATTTTCTCAACTGCTTACTCCCACCGCTGGATAACATCAATGTGCCTGGTGTAGTTGACGCATTGCGTCGAGAGGGACACATCAAGGAGAATGAAGAGGGCGAATTCTGCTGGGCTTTGTTCCTGGACAGTCCTTCTTGCATCGACGGGTTGGAAGACAAATGCTTCAAGCCGCTCGAAGATTTATCAAAGGAAATCTTCAAGCAATCTGGCATAAAGAAAGAACAGACTTTCATATTTACCCAAAATCCGCGGCAGACACCGCAATCGGTGAACAGAGACTCCGCCAGTCGCCCCGATGGTTATTTTGTCAAGAAGGTCCAGTTGCCTGGCGACAAAGTCCACTGGATGGATGTCGGTCTTTCTGCAGAGTACAAGAAGGTAGACAATGATGACAATAGGACTGATGTGAGTTTCCGCATATTCGCTTCCCTGGTCGCAACTGAATGACATTACGGTCTACAGGACGTGATCAAAGTTATCTGGAGTATGCATCACTGCATGCGAGAAGACCCCCGCCGACGCTTCACGTACGGATTGACGATAGAGGACACAACCATGCGTATGTGGTTCTGTAATCGTACTGAGATCCTTGTGAGTGAAAAGCTGGACTTTGTGAAGGTATGTTGAAACCTGAGTTATCGGCGCCAGGTGGTTGCTGACACCACTGATGACTAGGATCATGGCGTTGTTGTTCACTTCTTCTTGGCTCTGATGACTGCTGACTACCATAAAGCCGGATGGGACCCTACTATCAAGCTCGTCGTGAAAGACGGTAAGATCATGGAGAATCTAGATAGGACACCGTGCCTCGATATTGAAGTCAAGTCCGAGGAAGGCGCCACAGTAACATATCGCACGACACGCCGCATTTCCGACCTCGGTGCACACCCTCTACGCGGCTCGGGTACTCGTGTCTGGGAAGTGAAGGTGCTTGGACCCGATGGGACACCCGAAGGTCCCGCGATGGTGCTAAAAGACTCCTGGATTGATCATGATCGCAAGCTAGAAGGGCACATCCTGCAAGAAATCCGTGCCGAAGCCTCAAAACGTGACGAAGCCTCAAAACGTGATGAAGCCTCAAAACGTGACGAAGCCTCAAAACGTGAGGCAAACTCGAAACATGACGCAAAGCCGAAACATAATCTTAGAAAGCATGTTGACCGGCTTTTTCTGACTGTCAAGCACCACGGTAATGTGTTTGTCGAGGGAAAGCAAGATCACACGCGGGACGTCATGACCGGAGGTCGAGAGTTCTCATCGGGCGGGAAGCTATTTGAAATCGACTCCAAGAGAGTGGAAGGTGGTCGACTCCGGTCCGTGGTGGAGGTGATGCGCTCTGAACCCCCAAGGCCAGGGCTTGGAGATCATCGGTCCCAGCACCAACGTCTGACATTACCCGAGAAGAAGCTCAAGAAGTACCCTTACAAGGTACACTATCGCATTGTGTTTGGAGAAGTTTGCGTTCCCATCTACACATTGACCTCTTTGCATGACGTCTTCGCGGTTCTTGTCGAGGCATTAGCTGGTAAGTGCTCCAGTTTCTTGAGTAGGAAGTCAACTGAATTGGCCGTGAATACTCCTCACGATAGCATTGGACCTCATGCACGACCTCGGTTGGATGCACCGAGACGTCAGTGCAGCAAATGTCCTAGCATCCTGTGATAATGAGGGCCGATGGCATGTGAGGCTCACTGATCTTGAGTACTCGAAGAACTGGAATGACCATAGTACCCATGAAATTCGTACTGTGCGTGTTTGGTTATCTTCAGTGTACTTGAACTTACCCAGTACTCAATCCAGGGAACTTTTGACTACATGTCTGTGGAAGTCGACTCCCTCATGTATTGGTTCCTCCCGGAAGAGGAAGATCTCTATCTACCAAGCATTCCACAAGCAGACGAGGGGGATACAAGAGGAGATATCCTCGACGATTGCTATTCCCCACCACCTGAGCCATTACCGGAGCCTATCATCGAGCCAACTCCTCCTTTCAGATATAACCCCATGCACGACCTCGAATCCATCTGGTGGATCGCAGTGGACTTTATCTTCAACCGAGAAGTTTTATCTGTGGGCGGGAAATCGGCCTCCGAGCTGGACATAAAGGGAACTGCCGACTTCGAAAAGCAACTTGAATTTGTCAACGAGCTTTTTTATGATAGGACCCGCAGAAGAGATATCTTCCAGAGAACCGGCACCTTTCAAGAACGCGTCGCCAATCTCCACGGGTCCGTCAGAGACATCGCCAAGGAGTTGGAAAAAGCCAGAAAGACTTTCTGCGAACAGTACCAAGATTTGGAGAAGACTCCTGAGTTGATCAAAGCTATCAACCCGCGCTCTGCCGCGAAAGTTTATAGATTCTCAAGCCGATTGTTTGTCAGCATCCGAAAGCACCTTGCACAATGTGACATAGAGGTGAAAGAGCTCGTGCGACCCCTGCCTATGGCGCAGAACGCGGCATCCAAGCGTCAAGCCGTATGCAAGGCCGAGGATGTCGCCGGGCAGGCACTAGAAGCTGGTCAAGACCATCAAGATAGATCTCGCAGTCGTTCTGAATCCCCTCTCGCTCATGTGCAGCGGAATAAGAGCAAGCGGCGCCGCCAAGCGTCGGACAGTGATTATGAGCCTGATAAAGACGAAGATTGCGAGCCAGGAAACTCGAGCACGGGCACAGTTGAGGGCCGCGCTTCACCTTCCGCGAGGCACCTTAGGAAGAAATTGAGACGCACACGTCCAGCCACTCCTGCTCGCGACACAGAGGGGGAAGAGAGTGGCGGTGAGTAGGAGTGAAGCTAGGTGCGACTACTCTACTCACTTGTGCTTAATTGATTCTTGATTCTGGAGATTCTCTTTCAACAGCGATGTTGTCATATCCTATGCCGTGATGGCCGCATCTCTCACTATGCTTTCCTTTGCTATGGACGAACAGACAGATCTCGAACGCGGACTCATTTATGATGGCTCAAATGGCAAACCGGAATATTGATCCTATACAGACGAATATTTAAACGCAATCTCAGCTACAGACTGCATTTTCTAGCTCCGTGTTTGTATCCCAGTTATGTGGAAGACCTCTGTCGAAAGGTGTACGTGTGCGGTGGAAAGTATTGTAACGACTGTTGTCGAGTGGCGAGTTGGTCTATTAAATATTCATTCATCTCTATGTATGTTCTCTGCCACCCACCATTTGAGATATGCAGGCCAAGATAAGCATCGGCGTAATTTAATGGAAAAGACAGTGAGCAGCATCGGCGTAATTTAATGGAAAAGACAGTGAGCACGAATGACTTCTTCGAGAACTGATGCGTGAACGTCATAAACGATATAGGACGCGGGGGCGCCTGCCAGGCAAGATTGTGTAACCTGACGCAAACTAGATTCGGACAGGACGCCCTCCGATGCAGATAGGTGATCATGCGCTATTTTATCATCTCGACGATGGCTCGTGGCTCGCAGGTCTATGTTCCTGTGCATCCCCTTCCTCCTCGTCCCACCTTGCCCCGTCTTCCTCCCCCATATCCTCAGAGGACGGGGGTGCCGCAAGCGCAAGCGCCGCATCCAGGCTATTCGCCCGGCTCCGCGTCGACGGCGTGCTAGTGCCCGCTTCGCTCACGCTCAAGTTGTTAGAGCGCGTCGACGGCCGCGACATGTGGTGCGGCCCGGGCGACGCACGCCGCACACTCGAGCCTGACTGCGAGCCGATGCTCATCATCTCGCGCGAACCGAGCGACTCAATGGTCGGCATCCGGTGCACCGTCCGGCCCAGCACCGGCACATAGTCGTCGTCTGCGTAGTCCGTGAGCGCAGGGAGTGGCGTTGCCGCACTCATCGAAGGAAACGTAGGGGGATAGTACTCCGATTGGGCGAGTGCGATGCCCTCCTCCGTCTCGCGCGAGATCTCGGCGACGAGATGTCGGAAGCGTTCCGCAAACGTGCTTAGTTCGCTGTCTGACATTGAGGATTGCGGGATCTCCTCGTCATCCTCGTACGTTGGGCCCCATGGAGGAGTAGTAGCATACACACCCGGTGCATGCCCCATCGGGCGTCCATATCTATCGATGTCGGTGCTCGCATGCAGATCTTCGGACGATGACTCTGACGCCGTGTCCCCTCTATCTGGCGGTTGCTCTGCAGGTAAACTTGCTTCCTTCTCTGTCTTTGGAGATGCAGCGGATGGCAGCTGGTAGACTTCTCTCGCCTTGCCCTCAGTGATACTCTGAGCGGAAATTCTAGATCGTGAATTACGCAATGGGCGATGTTCGCTTGAGCTTCCATAGCTCTCGTTGGTTGCATGTCCCTCAGACGTCGAGATAGACGGGTGACGAATGAATTTGGGTATTGAGACGGGAGAGGACACTGCTGAGGTGCTAGTGGGACAGCTGCCCGCCGAAGTAATGGTGGCCGTGACTGAGGGCGAAGACATGTCAGAATGAGGGCGGGACCGACGTCTACGCCGCGTTGGCTGCCGCGTGACGTCATATTGATAAGATGCTAAGTGATAGCAGCCCTTATAAAACACGGTCAGGTGGAACATTGTGAGGGAGTGAAGGGACATACGATGACGACGATGGTAAGTAACAGACGAACGAGAGCGCCCGCAAGCCAGAAGCCCCAAGATGGTCCTCTGGGACATGCCGAGCCGAGCCCGGACCAGAAGACATCGATGTCCCAATGACAACGACCTCGCAGGGTGTTGACAGGGTTGTCAGAATGTCTCCAGAGAAAGACGAAAACGAAGTTAACGATTGCAGGACCAAGCAGGAAAACAGACGACGAATAATTAAGGAGGGCTTGCAAGACGACATGGGGTGCTCGTGGCCTGTCTCTCCAGCCAAGGCGGGGTGCAAAGAACTTGAAAGCGAGCGAGGTGAGCGTGAAAGCAGTGGAGAGAGCAGTGCTTGTTCCGAGGGTGAGCACAATCACTTGTCGCTCGTAGTATTGATATATTGCAAATGCGACATAGTAACGGACGGCGTTGTATGTCGTCCATGCACCTAACAGGCAGGGTCAGTCAGATTTCGGACTAGGCCGCAGACCCTGGATATTCAATATCGGCGAGGTCTCACCAATGATAATCAAGAACGTCCGCCGAGACCACCGCAATCGGCGCAACCTCCTGCGGATCCGCCGCTCCCAGCGACTTCTGCGCTCGCTGGGTATCACCGGGTCGCCATCCAATGCGAGAGGCGCATCTGGAGTTCCATGGTTGTTCGGATATTGCGGCTGCGTCGAGAGCAAGTCCAGGTAAGCCGACGGCTCAGAATCGAGCGGGCGCAGGAGCGGTTCAGTGGGATGCGAATAATCCGAAGTGGACGCGGTGCGCAGTGTCACCGATGAAACCGAGGACAAATGTCGGTCGACTTGGATAGATGAGCCATGACGGAAACTCGGCGGGCTTGTATGAGCTAGCACAGGGGGAACAGAGGGTTCGGGCGCGAACAAGGCCTGGTGCAGGTACAAGGCTGCCATGGCAATCTGACCTGCCCGCCAACTCGTCGGCCAGTCGCAAGAGATAAGTTACTCAATATCAAGACGTAGACAACTATATGCTGAGTCCCCATCGACTATCCGTATATACCATGGAGGTAGACGTGCTAACGTTGCAGTCGGAACAGGACTGAGCCTGAGGTTATGGCACGTAGACGCACGTTTGAGGGCGCTCCGTTACCAGAAGCTGCTGATGGTTGTGAGGGTCGCACATTCGAATATGAAACATGAGGCAATTCAGACAGCTTCCGCGTATCCAGTGGGAATTAGTGGAGAGAGTGGACAAATGTCGTGTGAAGGTTGGTTCCGAAAAGCGAGATGATAAACTTGGAACCACCAATCATAACGTACGATCTTATGTAACCAATGCGGTAGATGCTGATATATAGATATGTGCCTTGATCAATTGGTATTTACAGTCACCTGTTACTACTTAGCCGTGCGGACATAAGTCAAGCAAAAATGCACAAATATAATATGGATGATAATCCTTCTCCGCTCACGCGCAATCACTGCAGGGCGCCCCAGAGGCCCAGACCGGTAAACACACTACCTAATCCAAACAAAAACCCAACGTACGCCGTCGTGTGCACGCCAACGCGGCGAAGGACAGGCGGTGTGTGCAGGAGGCAAAGGAAGAGGTGGAATAGCACGATGAGGGGGAAGGTGACGGCAAACGCGCGATTCGAGTAGATCGTTGGTAGATCCCCATCAGGAAACGCGATGCGCGATCGCAGGTAGGATGCCGCGAGGATGAGGGTCATTCCGAGCGTCAAGACGAATGCATCGATGCGTTGCAGGCACGATACGAAAACAGGTATTCTCTGCAGGGCATTGAGGGCGAAGTGCAAGGTATGTTGCGGCTAACACTTACAATGGGAGGGACGCCGTATATTTCCTCCAACTCCTCTCTCTCCTTGAGATTGACGAGCTGGTCCAAGTCTTTGTCCACGGCCAGCTTGATCGCACCCTCGACGTTCCTCGGCCGCCCATTGCTAGCCGTGCCGTTCTCAGAATTTTCTCGTCGTGGGCTCATTGGGAGCGTGTCTTCTGGAAGCACATGCTCTGGCATCCAACCGCTCGAGCGGTTCGTGTTCTGCCACTGCGCGACTGCGTCGCGCACCTTCTCCTGGGGCACCATCACGTCGCGGTACAGCGCCAGCTGCTCATATCCTTGCGCGATGCCCACTGAGACGTCTGCGAGCGCCCATCCTAGCGCGACCCACCAGACGCGGTGGAATGCGGGATCCCGCCAAGTCGGCAGCGGGTACTGCATCTCGTGGCGGACGTGCAGAAGCGGCAGAGCGGCAAGGCGGGCGGTCTGACTGAGGAGCACGTAAAGGGCATTGAAGCATACCACCTGCGAGACCGCATTGGGAATGATCGCAGAGCAGAGTGCGAACAGCGGGAAACGGAGCAGATAGGAGAGGCACCACAGGGCCGCCGAGACGAGCAACTCCGGGATCGGGGCATAGAAATACCTCGGATAGGGAGGCGGTTCTTCATGTCGGCTGTGCCATACCAGAGGAAGTGCGGCAAGAAATATAAATACCAGAAGAGAACTGAGTGGTACTAGGGTATATAGGGCCACTGTCCGTTTGTACGAGCCTGCATTCAAGACGCTCAGTAAAGCGGGCAAGACGTAGCAAAAATGCAGCACGTACCTAGGTAGTAGCCCCTCTCCTCCAAATCCAACTCAATTTCATCTGCCTCCGGTGACTGCTGTTCTTCCCCGGAAGCGTCCTCTTCCGGCACCCGGCCAAGCAGGCTTTCTCTCCTGTACCGTTCAGGGCTACTGCGCGCACTCGACCTACCCAACGCGCTCGTAGAACCGTAGCCCTGCCCTCCGGGCACTGTTTCAGAAGCAGTAGTTGGTACCGAGAGCGTCAAGAGTGGCCGGCGGTCCATCTCAGGGATATGTGAGACGTCGTCAGGTTGTGGGAGCTTTCCTTTGCCTGACCGCGAGAACGATGCAACGGCTGCATTGATAACGGTCCCGACTCCCATGGGAGAGAGCGGAGATGAGAGCTGGACCGCGTAATTAAGGCCGGTGTTTGTAGCGGTCAAACTACAGCACCGGTAAGCGCGCTCCAGAACTGTGGTACCTGAGGTTGAACGTTCTTCACTGAGAAACGTTGGGCGTCGTCAAACAAACGTTCTTGTGTCTCGTCATATAGCAGGTGCTCATAGGAGAGGGTAAAGAATTCGTTATGTATGTCTCGCCACGAGGCTAGCTCAAGGCGCCTTGAAGAACAGGAGCGAATTGGCGCGTGATCAACGCGTCTGAAATGCAAGAAAACGGTCACATGATTGATGTGCGACGCGGTGGCTGCAACCTTTCTGGACGCGTTTTGCTATGTCGCGGTAACAATTTGCGCGTTTCCACTGTCTCCGTAACAGGAAAGCAAGTTGTATCAATATATATCGTGAGTGGTCCATGAGCAGCAGATATTGGTGTCACCTGGACCCATCACAGGCACTCCTGTCCTGCGGGTATAACAACCCCGTCAGTCTTTGAAGCACAAGCCCTATGTAGCCATGCGAACGGCGACTGCTCGTGTCGATACAAAATTTTAGTGTGCATCCGTTGCCCATGATTAATGATGGTCGGGCTTGAACGTCGTGCCCGCGTCGTGAAGATGACCAGTTCTATTCATGGGCCGCGGGTGACTGATATATATTTTGTGCTAATTACGCGACACAAAGCTGTCAAGTACCAAGGCATCCCATCCCGGGAAAGTCTGCTTGCTCATAGAGCCCGACGGAATCACCAAGATGTGAATTTGATATTCAATATTTTCATATCACCTGAGGATGAGCGAACGTACAAACAGTAAATGAAACTGTCATGTAAAATAGCCTGGTGATGCTCGCAGTAGCCTACGCTCACAAGCAGCAAGGGTGTTCGGAAGTACCCTTGGTACAGTCGTTGACTTTTGCATGTATTGTATAAAGAGAAATTACCACATTGCACCTCAGAGTAAGCACAAGCACTCCAACCAGACATTACATAGACAACATAGATGAGACACAGAGGAACGCCCAGATGGTTCGGGAAGGCAAAAGCGCGAGTAGTCTGTAGAGCGTACGAGCAAATTATTTTGTCTTTGAGCGAGTGACTCTTGAGGCGACAACGGGTTTCAAGGGCATGGGCTTCAAGACAGCCTTGCTAGTAAGTGCTCGCTTGCGTGAGGTCGTTACAGTGGAGGTAGCCAGGACTGCATTCGTCACGGGGTCCATTTACCGGTTTGTGTCCTTTTCTGAGGCCTTCCGCGACATAGCCCTGGTCACAGGGCCTCCCTGAGTAGTAGCCACTGGTTGCTGTACAGTATTCACCTTACTGACCTTTACCATCTTCGTAGAGGTGGCTCGCGGAGGATTCGACTTCTGCTTCGCTGAAATGTCTACCGCCGTACTCTTCAACGACTTCTGCGCGATGGTCCCTGAGTCACCTCGGACAGCGGTCTTCCCTTTGCCTGTCCTCGACAAGGTTGAACTTGCTTTGGGAGCTGTCGCAATGATAATCTTCGGTTGAGTGTCGACTGACGTCCTCGACCCTGCCATCTTGGGCTTTGCGTTAGAGTTAGCGGGTATGCTTCTAGAGCGCCTGGTGACGACTTCCAAAGAAGTTGTGGCTACTGACTGCCGTACTCGGCCCCCACTAACGCCTGGCATAGTTGGAGCCTTCGATATGTTTGTCCTCACATCGGATGGCGGCTTACACTCGAGATCGCCGATCATCACGTCGCGTCGCAGTTTCCTGAGGATCGCGATGAAGGTCTGGATGAATTGGTCATACAGACCCTTCGCAACTTTATTATCGATATCTGCTGGGGTTTCTTCGGCCTTTCGGTAGCGGGCTGCAAGATTTGAGCGCAAATTCTCCAGATGTTCTCCGGCAGGTTGAACAGAGTTGTGTAGGTGTTGGACCTGGCCTACGAATGTCGCGCCGGTGAACATGGTCTTGACCCTCTTCGTCTGGGTATAGAACAGTTTTTTGGCGTAACTGTATTGCTGTGCGTGATCCCTCTTTTCATCGCTGTTTCTCGAGACAGGATTCCCATCAATGCTGACAATGGCTTTGTTAACAACAAAGTACGTTGCGACCCATCAGATGGACTCGAGGTCGTGAAGTGGATTATATCGGAATGAAACCGGTTGCACGCTGGTCGTGGCTTCACGCATCGTATCAATACTATTGTCGGATAGTGGGACGTCATTGAATACGTCGTCATCGTTGAGGTCCTCAATCGAGTTTTCATCTGGTATTGGAGTCTCGTCCGGCATCGATTCCAGGATTCCTGAGGAGAAATAATACTCCATGTTGTCTACTTCAACGGCCATAAAATCCAATGTGCCCTGTTTGAGGATGGAAAAAAATGAGTGAAAGTAGATCATATGTGAGATACATACTGTCACAGTTTCCCTAATTTTACCTAATTTTTCCGCTATTTCTGCGGACATATCAAAGGGTATAGGGACTTATCCATACTTATCCGTCCGCATATGGGTACAACTGCATATCTAAGGGGTTATCCGCTTAAATAAGCGACACATGATCTTGTTCTGGACACATCAGGCTGGACTCTGATGCTGGACCTTTTCTAGATAGAAACCAGACTCCTTCTGGACCATGACATCATTCTGACATCATAGGTAGGAGCTAGGCTCAGGCACTAGGCCATAGGCCGGTCAATTCTGGACCCTAGGCCCAGGGCAGGGCAGGGGCAGACTATGACATCATATATGACATCATAGAGCACATGATACTTAGTAATCCTTACCCAGCTAGGTACCAGGGGTCCATTACTGGTCCCTGGGGGGTTTTCCCTCATGTATATAAGGCAGCATCCTGGAGCACCCTGTCCCCCAGTTCTATTCACTTCGTTGTTGCGCTTAACAGCATTACCTCCCCATACTTAAGTGCTATTATCTCCCCCCCTCAATATCAAGCTATAAGGTGGGTTTGTAGGTTTTGTGATAGTTGAATAGAACTGCTTTAAGGTGCACTGGGCCCTGGCAAGGGTCCCTTGCTACCTGCTTTGTTACAGGGCCTATTGGTCGTTGCTATGTCAACATGCTG